CCCGAATCCATATTGGAATACTCCTTAGATGTCTTACTTAAACCATCACTACCACCACCACAGAAAGGAAGACAACCCATTCGCCCAATTTCATTTGGATTGTTCGAATCCAGAGCATTCTCAGCGCCCGTGGGCATATTTGAGCAATGCTGAGGACAATTATCGCAAGGATTCTTGTCTGTTGACACACCACCGTTGCCAGATTGGCATGAATTCGGAGAAGAGGAAGGCTCATACTTCCGTGGCCGCCCTCTTGATAAGTGCCGCCTTTTAACAAACTCATTATCGTCGACCATCCAAAACGAGCCAAAGTCGTCCTCGTAACGCACAAAGCACTTGTGCAGAGATAGATTCGTACGTATCGCGTTCTTCGATAGATATTCAAGTTGGGGGTTTAGATAAAATGTGTTTGAGAAACCAAGAGCACCAACAAGAGTCATAAACAGGGAAATCCAATATCGGGAAAGGAAGAAAAATGTTCATTTATAAAGGAATTTTATTACGCTTTTTCTCTTAAAGGACGATTTAATTACGATTTTGATTTGATCACCTACACTTTTTAGTTTATAAGCCAGCGACCTGTTATGTAAGCAGACTGACAACTACGCGGACAGACAAACGTACTTCCCTTAAATCGGTGCTAAAACCCTAAAGAACTGCTGTAAAAAATCATATAATTTTATATCATATAACAACCACAGATTATATATCTGCTTAATAAACATGCATTTAGTGGGTTATATTGGGTATTTACTAACAGAGCAAAGTTTGAGGAAGTTGGAGCAAAGTTTATATTGAACTATTTAAAGCCCACATACCCAATGTTCATAGCTACAAAATAGTTAGTGTCCGGGGAATTGGTAGCACCTGCTAAGTTGTTACCAATGCCAGCGGTGCGTTGCGGTCTTCTTTTGTAAAACTCAATTTCATCAACTGTCCAAACAGCTCCTTTCACATTTTCAACCCGCATAAAGCACTTATGAAGGGACAGATTATGCCGAACTGCATTCTAATGGTGTATATGATAGGTTAGATTTTCCAATTTAAGAAATATTTTAAGGCGCAAAACTTGAACGTGCAAATATAACCAGTTAATTAAGATTGATATTTAAAGTCCGAAAATTACAAATCGGACAGACAATCTTGATTCATATGCTTAAGTTATTATTTTACAAAAACATGCTTGATTGAAAAGTGCATATATTACCTTCCATGTGGCTGCATTTCGACGGAAATAGCAGAAAGTATTTTGGAACCAGTTGTAGATTTCGTTTAGGGTTAACTGCTTGTCGGGGGAGTCTATGATGGACTATATGTTTATAAAATGAGATGAGAGACACCGTATAATAAATTTTGATAATTTTTACTTAAGTACACATTTTACTTTAAAATTACCTGTCTTATCAGCGATGCATATGTAAAGGGCGGTCGTACATCAGCATTTTTGTAAAATTCTCTATTCCGTTGAATTTCTATAACATTTCAATGTATTATTGTGTGTCTGCCAAGCTTTACAAATTATTGATTACATACCCTGTTGCACATCAAGACCAGCTCTTTCAAGCATGTAGGGTAATCCTAGTTATAGCAAAACGTACATTAGTTACAGTGATGCAACGACTAAAGTCCACTACTTACCACCATTTATGGAAAATGAATTTTTGTCGTGGCTTCTCTTCTTGATGGAACAAAGATTGGTTGTGTTAACCATTGGAAGATTGAGGGAGCCAGGAGAACTTGTTTGGCGCATCGGTCGACCTATGCTATTTATTGTTAGTGGACTTCTGCAAAACTTTCCCTCCCTGCCCGGTACATCCTTAAATAAACATTAAAGTTAATATGATCCGAGTAACATCGGTTGACTAAGTACCTTTCTTTCCATTTTGGTGGGTGATAATAGTTGCTTTGACAGATATAGGTGATGCATCATGGCCTGCAAGCGATCCCTTTCTTTTTGAAGATGCGACTCTAGTTGGGAAACAACTTGCATTTGAACACGAGCCTGGGCCGTAGACCGATCGTCCAAGCCATGTTCAGAGTTCAAATGCCTAGGAAGAATTATATATAAGATCTTGAACTGAATCTTATGGGCTGACTTACTTAACAAACGACGCTATGTCTTCTAGGTCTATTTCGCAGCCGGGCCACCGGCATATTCCATGGGCAAATAATGGATGATAATACTTGCGCATGGCAAATTCGTCGTGCATGTAGCTGTAATCATTGTTGCACACCTCGTTATCCTTTGACCTTAAAAACCTCTCGGCATCCGAAAACATAAGTTTCTCCTGCTCCGAAATAAACTCGGGAACATTGTAAAAACTAAGATCGGGAACAGGGGCCATCATGTGCTGACCCTGGATGTGCATATGGGGATTGGGCTCTTGCTGAGCCGTAGACGTTGACTCGTCTAGGCTTGAGGCTGGAGAGCTACACTTAACTACATGCGAGGCAAAGGCTATAGAGTTATTTAAGAAACTTGACGGCTGAAAGCAGTTGTTTTTGACAGCTTCTGTGCATATATCTGGAATGGAAAGTTGGTGTCGCGGTTTCACAGATATTTCCTTCTGAAGAATGGATCCCTTAAAGTCAGCTTCTTTGGCGTCCTCAGAGTATTCGTCGTCATGTATCCGATGCATACTTTGGAAACTAAAATGTGAAGACGTTACGTATGGATCTTCAGAGAATGTAGAATATTATTTAAGACGTTTATTAAATCCCTAAAGAATGTAAAATAGCCTTCTATGCAGATATCAGAGCTATCACTAGTCTTCGAATTTTAAGATTCCTAAAGCTGGTGGTAAGCCTTGCAACTGCTGCAGAAGAAGGATCTCATATTAATACTGGGACTACCAAGTATGAAGGATGAAGTTTACCTTGGCTAACAAATATCAATTATTCTTCTATGAAAACTGATGAAAATTATGAAGACTTACTCTTCAATAAGTAAGCAATCTAAACACAATCAACTATACTCTATACATGATACAAAATGATCTCTTTGTAAGCACATTTTTAGATTCCATAATATCTGTCTACCTAAGTTACCATCCGAATCCGAACCAAATAATAAACGTCCCAAAGGATACAGTGATCCTCCAAGCGATATATCCTGAGTCATTACAGTAACTGAAATCTAATTTGTTACGATTACTTACCATTTCCGTTTATATGATTTACAATAATTGAAATTGAATAATTCAAGACAAATACAAACCAATGTTTTTTGTTAAAAGCACAACTCCATCTACGAGAAGAACGTAATACAATTCCCGGAATTCCTGTGAAAACAAATGTCAAAGTCATAATGGAATGCTCATAATTGAACATTCTTTTCATAAAAAAATATTATTTTATTTAGATATTTCTAGATTGTCTTATTTATTGGAACGCAGCCGGACTATCCAGTCAAATGAGGACTGGCGGAATAACAGACGGACATGAGAACAGACGGACATGAAAGGATACAATGAGGTTTACAATTGGACTGTCAAAAAAGAAAGCAGACAGACAGAGACCCAAAAGGATAGATAGACGGTCATGTTCTGGACAAGCTAATGGTGTTTCAGAATAACTTAAGGACCCACATTCAGCGAGATCCAAAAAAAGCCGTACAAATTTTCAGACGGAAGGAACCATTGTTGGAGGAAATAATTAAGCGGAAGGGTTAAGAAAATAATGCATTTAAGGAAGTTATTGGGTAGTGACTGTTTATGAATGGAAAGGCCTATATTGTTAAAGATTAGTCATCTGTATATATCGTACCTAAAAGAACGTTAATTATTATAAACATGTTGTAAGGCATTGTTTTTGAAGATGTAGTGTAACCTGGAATAAAACGTTTACATAATAATAAATTGTTTCGAGCAAGGTATTATTTCAAAATAGAAATAACACTCATTTGCTGCAATTAGTTGATATTGTTGATATTAACACTCCGGTTAATTAATTCAGCAGATGATTCGTCTTGGTACATTATGTGATAAATAGATATTGTTAAGCCTGATACTGGCCGTTTCTCAGTCAAGCTTTTTATGTTATTAACCATATTTTGTTTTACTAGCCTTAATTTCCCTCATTTATCTTAAATATATATATTTTCTTGATCGGTATTAGATAAATATTGTTGCATACGGCGATAATATGCCAGGGAAAACCTTGATAAATCGAAGATATATTTCCTGGTCCTCATTGCAAGGTCAGTCCACAGTTCTTCTTATCTTTCTTAATGAATAAACTAAAACGAAATAAAGTAAAGTTCACAGACGAAAGTGTATACACATTATTGCTTACATATGTACATATATATGTAGGTACATATATACATGCATAAGAAGTAACTTACTTAAATTAACTTATAACTTAACACGTAACTTATAATCTTTAACTCTATATTCTTATCCAAGATAGCTTATAATCTTATCCTACAAAGCTTAATACAAATTTTATTGTAAGACTCCCATCCTATGACTAAATCGATACACATACAATTTTGCAGACACGGTGTATGCAAAGTTCTATGTGCATTTACAATTAAATAACATTCACTTGTGATTTCAGAGAATACGTTCTATATTTAATAACAATTAATACACTATAATAAATATTAAAATAAAAGAAAATATGTAGAATGTAATTTTCTGAGCCTCCTCTCAAATGGTACGTCTGTCTGCTACTAAAGAAAATTTCTAAAAACTATGTGTAGACATTTTTGCGCATGCGCTGGGGAACCCGGAAGTAAGCCTATGTCACACTTAACGATTTCAAAATTTAAAAAAAAAATAGAAGGACCCTTAAATTAAAACGTCGTTTTTTCGCAATACATTGTTGAAAATAATTTTCAATAAATTTTGAAAAATCAAAACGTTTAGATATAAGCGTAACGCATTAAAATTATAAAAAAGGAGAATTTAATTTACAGGATTACATATATGGTAAATATAAGAACAAATTTAAAACATATCCCAATAAAAAATATTTAAAATTATTAAAAATACAAATGCTTGTGTTATCATTTTTATTGCTCATATTCATGCTTGTGGATTTGATATACGTAAGGTGAAGTTTAATGTTTATGTAGGTCCTTTCCAAATTCGGAATTCATCACTCAGTATTCCTCATCTTCACCCAGCTCGGTGGTGGAGTCAATGCCCACCTCCTCGTAGTCCTTCTCCAGGGCAGCCAGATCCTCACGGGCCTCGGAGAACTCGCCCTCCTCCATGCCCTCGCCGACGTACCAGTGGACGAAGGCCCGCTTGGCGTACATCAGATCGAACTTATGATCCAGACGGGCCCAGGCCTCGGCAATGGCCGTGGTGTTGGACAGCATGCACACGGCGCGCTGCACCTTGGCCAGATCGCCGCCAGGCACCACGGTGGGTGGCTGGTAGTTGATGCCGACCTTGAAGCCAGTGGGGCACCAGTCTACAAACTGGATGGAGCGCTTCGTCTTGATGGTGGCGATCGCAGCATTGACATCCTTGGGCACGACATCGCCGCGATAGAGCATGCAGCAGGCCATGTACTTTCCGCGACGGGGATCGCACTTCACCATCTGGTTGGCGGGCTCGAAGCACGCGTTGGTGATCTCGGCGACGGTTAATTGCTCGTGGTAGGCCTTCTCGACGGAAATGACGGGCGCATATGTGGCCAGGGGGAAGTGAATGCGTGGGTAGGGCACCAAATTGGTCTGGAACTCGGTGAGATCCACATTCAGGGCGCCATCGAAGCGCAACGAGGCCGTGATGGAGGAAACGATCTGACCAATTAGGCGATTGAGGTTCATGTAGGTGGGTCGCTCGATATCCAAGTTGCGCCGGCAGATGTCATAGATGGCCTCGTTGTCTACCATAAATGCACAGTCCGAGTGCTCCAGCGTGGTGTGGGTGGTTAAGATCGAGTTGTATGGCTCGACCACGGCGGTGGATACCTGAGGCAGGAAACAGGAAGTTACATTTAAAGGGAAGTCTCATCGTGTCTATCTTTTTATTAATCGAAAAATTTAAATCTTGAGTTTTTTATGCACATTCTAATCACTTACTTGTGGAGCTGGATAGATCGAAAACTCCAGCTTAGATTTCTTGCCATAGTCCACGGACAGACGCTCCATCAGCAGAGAGGTGAAGCCAGAGCCAGTGCCTCCGCCAAAGGAATGGAACACCAGGAATCCCTGCAGGCCAGTGCACTGATCGGCCAACTTGCGGATCCTGTCCAGCACCAAATCGACAATTTCCTTGCCAATGGTGTAGTGGCCACGGGCATAGTTATTAGCTGCATCCTCCTTGCCAGTGATCAGCTGTTCGGGATGGAACAGCTGCCTGTAGGTGCCAGTGCGAACCTCATCGACGACCGTGGGCTCCAGATCCACGAACACGGCGCGGGGCACGTGCTTACCAGCTCCGGTCTCGCTAAAGAAGGTGTTGAAGGAGTCATCGCCACCGCCGACGGTCTTATCGGAGGGCATATGGCCATCAGGCTGGATTCCATGCTCCAGGCAATAGAGTTCCCAGCAGGCATTGCCAATCTGGACGCCAGCTTGTCCAATGTGAACCGAAATGCATTCCCTCTAGAATTTTAATTACATATTTATTTAATAAAAATAATTAAGACCTTAAGATGTTCTTTTTTTTGTAGAAGCTTTCAATTAAATCTAAAATCTTTATTGAGAATATCCGGTGGACAAACTTTATAGAACTGTTGACCATCTGTTTTTAATTTATTTTAATTGTGGAATACATCGATATTTAAATTCCACTTTTGCAAGAAACTTGGCTTTCTCAAATTTGAAAATTAAATTCTTTTGAATAATATTAATTCAAAGGATTTTTAAACTTTAATCACCTTCAACCTAATTTTCAGTTAGAGTCCTTTTTTTGATACCTAAAGGACTTTAAGGCACTTTAGTCCCAACTTAAGATTTATTTCCAACATTCACTATCCTTACCATCTTGAGTAAAAAGGCTTTGGCTGATCCTTAAATTTAACACAGAAGATTCAGCGTACGAAAATCCTAGCACTTGTCTGTGATGCGACGGAGCTGGGAGTAAACTAACCCGAAGCTCAGCGATACGCGTTCTTTTATAACCCTCGCAGACGGCAGACGACGATATGTGTTTATGCCATATATGTGGATGTCTAATGAACTGTGCCCGTGTTCATCGACTTAAGTGGTACCGATATACCCACCCAGCCACACATGCTCAAGATGTCACTGTGTTGATCGAGTTTTGGATTCTATTTCATTGTTTATGGGGATAGAATTCTCCCTTTACCCCTCCTATTTGCAGCTGTAATTTAAGGGTAGAGTTGAATGTTGATCATTAACAAGAACCTTGTTTATACTTGGAAGAAAGGATTTTGCTTATACAAAACTAGTGATTCTGCAGGGAAAAACTGAATGCGAAATAATGAGCTAATCCAATTCAAAGACTTTCATTTGATCTGGAATGGTAATTGCACTCACCTTTTATATATTTTAAAAGTAAAAGTATTTCCAATTTGACTAAAACCATTATTTATTTTTAATTTATTTTTATTTATAACTTAGATTTTATAATACTGCTCACAGTAGTTTTACACTAAGTTCCTAATATATATGGTATTTTGTTTTTAAATATAAGTATTATGTAAGTTCGACCAGTATAAAATTAAATATATATTGTGAATTAAATGCCGGCCAGCGTTGTAAAAAAACACTTGGAATTATGTCTCATCTTGCGTTACAATGGATTAGTTCTTTATATTTGAGCGAGTTGTGTTCAGTAGAAGTTTCATCACGAACATTTACAGACACAACTATGGGTATAATCATGAGTGCATTCAAAAAACTGCCTTGGCATCGATCGAGTGTAGCAATTGTTTCATCAAATTACATTTGACTTAACTTCTGTTTGGTTGAATTTGTTTAAAACATACACAAAATTATTTAAGCTTTTAATTGCTAAATTATTCGAGAATCTATTTTCTCCCTTCGGTTGCCCAGCAATAAGGGGATGCAGTTAAAAAGAAGCATCCGGAAGATTCAGTTGGAATTCTTGGATATATAAATATAAACAAAAAATAAAATTAACTTGGTTTTTACAGCGTTTTGAAGCTTGCTAATCTCCACTTTCTTATACAAAAATTTAACTAAACTTGTGGCCGTTCATAATTTTCGCATACATTTCGAATAATATTAAAAAGCCAACATATTCATACTTAAGATTGTTTCTAAAATACACATAAGCAATAACAAGAAAATCAGCTTTAATATCAAACCCAGTCTATAAATTCGTTTGATGTCGGTATATAGGTATGTTCTTTAAAAACTGCAGTACGAGTAGATGCATTGGCCATACTAACTTCCGCTTGACTTGCTCGTTTTAAAACCTATTAGTTATTAATTCATTGAATATTGATTTCGTACAACTTATAATTAACAACGTTAAAAACTATTCATTTGGCCGAACATAATTGATCTCTCCAGAATATTGTTTTGATAATGGGTAATAATAAAGTGGTAAAAAAAGTTTATTCTATTGAGTTGGAAATGCAGAATACTGAAAATATTTAAATCCTAATCACAGGGGCGTGTCGTATACCCTGTGGAATTTCTATAGTCATACGGTGCTGTCGCGCTTTATCATTAATGGAGTTTGGACGGTTACCTCGTCGTCGGAAAGGTTCTGCTCGGCGGAGTGGATGCCATCGCTAGCGATTCCAATGCAGACTCTGCCGCATTGCGATTGGTTCATGTGGTGCAGGGCTATGGTTCTACCGCCACCGTGTGGCTGGGGCAAAACGTTCGATGTCGAGGTCATGGAGCTATTGGACGCCAGCGATGGCGAGGGAGCGTGTCCATGTTGAAGGGTCTGCGACTGGTTGTGGCTATTGACTACTCCCCTTCCCTGCGGAAAGGACAATTGATGAAATGTGGAGGTTGGTCTCGCTCCAGCAATGGTGCAGTTGTAGTTGGGCCACACATTCTGCGATGACTGGCGAGGAAGGGTGCATTGCGATATAGAGTTGGAGTACACGTGGGGCGTTACATTCTGAAAGGATTCAAATAAAGTTAAACCTGGATTATCCTGGATTTTTAAAGAAATTTATAGAGCGTCTAAATGGACTAGTAATTCCTTGTTAAAAGTTTAATTTAATATTTTTACTCACAATTGATATTTCTCCCACCGAACTCTGTGCCTGAGCATGCATTCCGCCGCGCAGAGTGCAGTAACCAATTCCATGAGATGCCCTTAGGGAGATCTCGGCCGCAGTTAAGTGCTGCTGTTCATTTACGAATATTCCCCTGTTGGGGCTGCGGTTGGTCTCGATGGTGGAAATCTGCTGACGTTTCCTGACGCTCTCAACCTAAAATAGTAATAAAATTTAAGAAATTATTTAGAAACATGATATAAAAATTCATTCATTATTGATAGTTGAGTATATTCTTTAGTAAAATATCATCAATTAAGTAATTATTTCACCTGATCATCAGCCTCAACAGTTTCAGGTACCACATCTGGATTTTTCTCATCGCAATCATCCACATCCTTGCTGCCAGAACTTTTGTCGCTTGGCCCCGGCGACTCATCTCTTGATATATTTTCATTCGAGAGCTCCTTTTGTCGCCTCCTCGAGGTGGCTGAACACGGAATTCGCAGGGCCAGGATAATCGCCAGCACAGCGACCAGCACGGCTAGGGTTAAGCCAATTGTAAGTGATACCACTGGTGAAAACAATAGCTCTGCTCGAAGGTTATTAGCTGAAAATTAAAGGAAATTTATTTAAACTTCTTTAGTAAAAATAGTACAACTCACTTTGCTCTGATGTTAGTTGCTTTTCCGGCATACGCAGCATGGCAGCATTGACAATTGCTGGATCAGACCGGCCTTTGGTATTAAATGCGTAAATATTTAGTCTATATATGCTGCCCGGGCTTAGACCTGAAACCGTAAACCTTGGAGTTGTCGATGTGATGTTTGCTTTGATTTCCTTTGATTGAAAAGAACGATTATTTATTTATACTTTTCGTGTGTTTTTTGATAGATAACTCACTTGGGTGTAGGAGTCTAGCAGTTCCAAGTTAAAATTTTGCGGCAATCCGCCATTGAAACCATCACTGCACGTCACGGTTAAAGATGTCATGGATATATTGATTACAGTACAATTATGTACTTTTTCAGGGCGACCTTAATATAAATAATAAATTAAATAAAAAATATATAGTCTTAGTTTAAACTAAAACAATACAAACCAGCAGCAATTATATGGAAGACACAGGGTATTCGCTGTTTGCCAATTTTGTTCGAGGCCAGACATAAGAGGGTTCCATAATCTAATTCGGTAATTGGAGTGTAAGTCACAATGGATGTTGTGCCTGGAATATATAAGCAATCGTTTAAGCATTAACTTAATTAACCTTGTTTAATTTCTTTACTTACCCGAACGAATAATATGATTTGTGGCAACATCTATGCTCTCCGCAGAATTATTAAATGTCCAACTAAACTCAACCTCTCTAGGATTCGCATCAACCGTACACATTACTTTAGCATCTTCCTGCTTCGCTATGCCATATACTTTCTTTTGATTCTGGGCACATGTTGGAGCATCTACAAATAGAAAGAGGAATATATGAGGATAACATCTTAGAAATAATAATGACAGAAAAAAAATAACAAAGGAAACTAAACTTTTCTTATTCAACAAATTCAAGAATAATAGCAAAAAATGTTGTTTTAAGTTAGCTTACACAGAATATTTAAAGCAAATGGAGCACTGATTCCTTCTCCTTCAGCATTAAACCCAACGCAGGAATAATTTCCGGCTGTGGCTCGCGTTACACCTTGTAATACTAAAGAGTGGTTACTTATTATGACGCCTTGGGAAATGTTGTGAGACAGTGGTTGCTCCTGAAAGTAGTCATAAAATATTAAACTTATACAAATTTAGGTACTCCTGGGACTTACATTGTGACGCCATTCAATGCGAAATACATTCGGATGAGCCATTACGAGACAATCAAAGTACACATCAGTTCCCTCCCGCAAAGTACTGGGATCTAGAGATGTTCCTAAGCGAACATATGCTTCGGGGACATCTAAAAGCGAAGTAATCTTGTTAAATAATGTTTGTGCTATAAATTTAATTAAAAGGACATACATTGAATGTCAAGCTTCCAGCCATCTTCCAGAGGCTCGGAGGGTACAGCATGATTGTAAGCCTTACATGACAAATACTTCCCCGCATCTGATTTACTAAGACTTATTGAAAGAGTACTTGTAGTCTGGTTGCCATCGCTTGAAGTCTGAAAGTTAAGTTAAGCATTTATATAAACCACACACAGAGTCCAACAATACTTACCGTCTCGGTAGTCTTTTCAAGTCGAATGCCATTCTGCCACCAAGTAATTACGGCCGGCGGCCTGGAGCCAGCACTTTGACATAAAAGATCGTATCTTCGGCCAGCAGACAGTGGCTGATGAGCGCCCAAAAGTCGGATATTTAAGGGAGCAACTGAAAAAAGGACATTTTATACATTTACAATTCATTCACAATAGTCTCGAGTTAAATAACTTGTGAAATCTAAATTAGTTAGTTGCTTACAATTCATATCAATTTGAACAACGGCCTCCACGATTGGTGCTCGAGGATGGCTCAATGCCCTGCAGGTCAATCTCGAGTTCAGATCTTCCCTTCCCAGCGAAGGCAGAGTAATTTCGCACTCGATAATTTTTCCCCCTGCTAAATGAGCTAATTCGCATGGTATTTCAACACCATCGCGGTACCAACTGATAGTGGGGGTTGGGTAGCCTGAAATTTGAATAAACGTTGGGTATTAGGTTTATAAAGAAATTCTGAAAAAATTGTGAAGCAATATGACACGCTTTTAATGATTATATTTTGCTGTTTGTTCACAATTTAATGCAAAGAAAAATATATTTTTTATAGTTAAGCCAATTACTTATTCTTTAAATTGTCAAAGGGAGTGGCTTAAATTATGTTTCATTAGTGGTAAACTTTTAAGTTTAACTTAACTTTTCTTTTGGAAGTGTAACTAGGTTTTGACGCGGTTTTTTGTAATGTTTTGTTGGCGAACCATAGATTTTAACTATAGTAAACTAATTTAAAAAACTTAATCTTATACTTACCTCCAATGACTTGGCACTTCAATGCCACAATGTCGCCTTCGCTATAGGGTCCCACCACTGTAGACCGCTCCACATTAGCGCTGTCTCGAATTATAACTTGCTTAGGCGGAGCTAAATAAGATTAATAATAATAATAATAATCAAAATTAAACTTTGTCAGTGTCCAAGTTAGAGCATAAATCGCACTCTTAAGAATACTATTATTAAAACCAACTTACATATGACGTTTAACCTGACACGGCTATTTATGGTTTGGGCTTTCAGGAAGTCCACTCTGCATCTATATGTTCCGGAATCAGAAGCTTGCGTGTTTTGAATTGAAAGTTTTCCGGGCTCCTTATCGAATATAAAATAAGCTCTATCTCCAAAGACAGATTCGTCAGACCATCTTTTTGGTGCCTTGGACACTCCGGCTCGTATATCAATACTGGAAAAGTAAGATTTATTTGTAAAGATCTAGGTCAGAAGTGTACACTTATGACTGCACTAGGATTCAATAAATACGAACAAGTTCTAACAGCAATAAAAACCAATAAATTAGAGCCAATTTATAGATATGGGGGCTCCCTTTTGTTTCCAACTCAACACTTGTTCAACTTTGGTTTCTTGCTGGAAATGTTTGAAAGTTTACAAGTTTCTCATTAATTTACCTGTATATGGGGGTACCTTTGTCATCGCGGTACCATAAAACCAGTACAGGTTCATCCCCGTCATAAGTGGTTACATTGCATGGAAGATATATATTTTCACCAACTAGAGATTCAATTTGATGAATTGGTACTGTGAAGGAAAGGAGGGATTAATATTTAATTTATTATTTATTTAATGTGTTTTAAAACAGTGGTTTTACTTTATATTAACACCATAATAAAATTCAGTTTTTAAATCGCTTTACTTCTACTCATACATACATTTTCAAGTACCTCAATATTAATTATTTTTCTAAGATAATAGGTAAACTGAAAAGCAATCTATTAAGCGTTTAAACAAGATAATTTGGCCAAGTGCCCATAACATATCTGGTATTAAACGAATATTCTATCTATCTTCTCCACACTCATTAAAATATTTTTCTATATTTAAGAAAATTGCCCTTAGCAAATAGAAGATAAATTGCCTCTCATAAAACTAAGAAAAGTCCTTCTAAATGTAAGAAAAATACACCTTTCATTTAAAACAAAGTTTCTTCATATTTAGCGCTCTAAAAACAAGATTTTAGGGCTAATTTTGTGAAATGTAATTTTAGTTATCATTATAAATCAAATATTATGATGTTAAATACTTCTATAGATAGATCTCAAAATAAAATACGTCTGATTTGTCTTATCCTTTTTTACCAATATTTATTTTTTTGTACAAAAAGATAAATATAAATGGTAAAATTCATTTTAAAACTCCAGACTTTAGGTCTTTATAAACAATATAGGTTTATTTATGTTTACTTTAGTTTTCATACTAACAATACAATTCTTAAGTAATAGACTTACCATCCTTACTGCCAAAGCTGGTCTCTATAAGTTGAAGTGCCAACATAAATAGTAGCATTACCTCCATGTTGAACACCTTTTCGAATAGTGATTATTCGCCGTTTACATTTAATTTGTGGTTTCCATTCAGAATGACACTCTCGGGGAATTTTACATTCTTAATTGAATAGTAAGTTACATTTTATCAACCGAGTTTTCACGGCAGATGAGCGGACAGGACACTAACACTTGTGTATGTGCGAACACTCAATTATACATATACGTGGGATATAACATTGTATGTATAACACATAGCTTTATGTATTTTGAAGTAGTTGCCTTTGCTACAGGACGCGCATATTTTTGCTTTTCTGTTGAGCACCCTCGTCCTTATGCACTAAAAACTATTTAATTTAATAATCCAGCTTCCATGAATGGTCACAGAGATTTGATTTTATTAAATGTACATACATTTGTATGTGCGTTTGTATTTTCGTCGTATGCACTTGTGTATGTTTGCCAAATTTCCAGGATACACTCTTTTCTACTATTGCTTATTTTTGCATGCGCACATTCACGGATGTCCCCCGGGGGTTTTTAGTTATTGAAATACATTCTGCAACAACGATTTATGCGGATTATTTGAACAAAAAGATAGATGGAAAATCCTGTTCACTGAGGAAAAGTTATATTACTTTTCTAACCGCGATGCGAAACTAACACGTCGAAATTCCATCGCACTACACCTGCAAACCTGGGCTAAAAAGCTCGTCGTCGGCAGGCGCATGCGTATCGAGGAAGCTTTTGATGTAAACATTGCAACTATGACCTTTGTACATGTGTATGTACGTGCATCCGTCCGTCTCGTTGAAATTATCCTTTTTTTTTCTCTCTATAAAATATGAGTAGTAATTTGTCGGCACCGAATCGTAGAGTTTAAATTGGACGCATCCAAGGATGCTCACTAATTATGGTGCTCATCCAATGTGGCAAAGATTTGGGTCTATGTTTTCACTTTTGTATCGCCACAGCCGGAGCCGAGGGTATTTTATTTTAATAACAAGCTTAGACGGCACAGCAGAGACGTGCAAGTCCGACCTTATAATGTACCCGTACATATACAGTGAAAGCTCTCCGGGCGGACAGCTGCCGTTTATGCACCTATTCTCTCGACTTCTCCACTCTCACAGATGAACGTAACGTCTTATCCTTTTTGCCGGACAAAGAAACTAAAACGGTCGAAGTCGGAGTCCGCCCAATGTATCTAGTTTCATTTCAATTGCGAGTACACATATCTGAGAGTTCTCGGGATGGCAGCAGGGTGGGTTCTGAAATGAGAAATAATTGGAACTCATGGTAAAAACAAATTAACAGAGGATGTAATTAAATACAAGATAGTAAATATAATTTAAATAACAAAAAATAACTGAAGTTTAAGGAATACCATTTTACACAATTTAATAAAAGGGTTTTTCGGTAAAAGCTGGAAATCTCATCTTGACCTCTAAGATTAAAACTGAAGGTTTCTTGATTCAACTTAAAAATCAGTTACGTATTAATACAAATATAATCATTTTTCAAGTAAATAAACATTATAGAAAATCGATTAGAGATTATTAAACATTTTTTAAATTTAGAAAATCGTCTATTGATTTTATTACATTTATTATTTAAATTAAAATTATCAGTTCCTTTTGTTAATATTCTTTTTCAAATTTTTGAACGTAAATATTGAATTCACTAATTTTAATTTATTTATATATTTAAAAATATTAAATATTTTTAAATTTGAAACGCAACGTCGCTTATTAACAGAAAGTCTGGCAGCACCCTGTGCGTTGCCAGATTTTTCGTTCTACTCATTTTTGCGTTCATCGATAAAAACTGTTTTACGTAAAATGAATGAAAGTCTGGCGCACAAAACGGTGTAGAATAATTTGAATTAAACATTTCACAAGTAAAAAAGAGTTATTTCTTTATTTTTTTAATTTCCTTAAACTAAAATTAAATTCTTTATTTTAAAATGATTTTGAGCCTTTTAACTGTTTAGACCTACAATTAAAACTATCTAAGCTACCTACTGCAGAAAAGCTTTTCTTTGAATTACCTTAATAGTATTTATAAGGACAATTTAACGACCAAAGTATTATATTAATAAATTTAATAATTGTCTAAAAATTGTATATAGTTGCCAAATTCAAGTTAAGATACTTTTAAAGCCCACAGAACTCTACAAAGAAGAGTATTCCAGCATGCAAATTTCGTTAATCAACTGCAATTAATTCTTAAAAACTAACGATCAATAAAAATTAGGCAATCTGCTGGTGACAAAATAACTGCTGCTCCTCTAAAGTGATTCCCAGGAAAAGCAATCGAAATTAATTGAGGAATTCGCAACAATAAGTTGATGTTCAAGCAGCCCACTTGTGAGATGAGTGGCTTTTATCAATAGCGATATTTTTGCCACTTTTATAGCCACAATTGGCCATGTTTGTTTAGGGGAATTCAGGAAGTGCAGCATGTTCCCACTCCCACCCAAGTGGAGTGGCAAAGTGCTCCTCATCTTCGGCACATGCTGATTAAATGCCCCATAACTGCGCCAGTGGGTCACCCGGTGGGACAATGAATGCCAATTGTTTTATCTCGGACAGAGAGGACGGCTTCAAGAGCACAGCGCACTTGTTAACACAAGCGATTTTCCATGTTTTGTGATATATAAACATACCATATACATATATAGTTAAAGTCGGCTACTGGCTTAAACTATAAAAGAGCTGGAGATTTAAAGAGGTCAAAGTTTTTCTAGGTACTTTTAATAAAATACAATTTTGTTAAAATGTAAATCAGGCTCGATACTTATATACTTATTTATTTCTAATATTTTGAAAGGATAAACAAAAGTTCATCTCCGTAAAAAATATATTTTATAATATATATATATTGTCATATAGTTACTTTTTTAAATATATCTTACTTTTAGTACACTTGTTTCATTATCTATTTTAAAGATAATAAAGGTAACATGAAATATAAGTAGTCTCGGGAATATTACCTCATTGTTGACTCAGTTGTGTCGTTGATGAACGATATTTGTTGAGCGAATATCTCGCTAAATATATAGATGACAATATTGAACTTGCTGCGTATACCGCTAGAAAATGATTCAAAGTCAGAAAATGTGAGACCTTGTAGGCTGCATCATCCACTTTTCAACCTTGCAACTCCATTTCCCTGCCTTTCCGCTTCATGTCCGAAAAGCTAATAATGCGGAGTGTGGGTATTTATGTTTGGGTGACAAACTTGGCTTTGTTTATCTGTTGACTAAACTTTGTTTAGTTGTTGACTAATATTAGCCAGCTGGCCAAATTGAAGCGCTCGGCTTCAGGTCAGTTTCTGTGGTCTTTCCAGCACTTGAAGTTGACTCATTGCCAATGTCATCCCAAACGTGTGTTAGATATATTAATAGCTATGATAAATTAACTTTCTCACTCTCTTTCGGTATCCCAAAAAAAGTTATTAGTCATTGCTGCACAAAAAGAAATTTATAAAAAATTTTAAAAAATTTTAAATATTTCTAAGTTTCTGGAACTAGAAAAATATTACTAGGAACTATATTCTGTATATATAAGTTTTCTTCAATGTTAAATAAAATAAAGATACATTAAACTAATATCCTGTAAGTGTATGCTTATGAGGAGACCTACAATTGCTCTCATATTACTCGTTAAGTATACGCCACATTGACCTTCCCGCAGATAGAAATCTAGGCAGACCGAAAATTGTCTAGGTCATGACATCCAGCTGCAGTGGATATATATATATATATATAAAGAGATACTCAAACCCATATCAATTACCAGCGTAGAACAACAAACTACGTAGCTACAATGACAATGTGGAAAACTCACATAAAAACTTGATACCATAAAACTATGCGCAGTCATTGTGGCGCCTCCACCGCCAGAAATTCCCATATAGCCGGCTGGCTGCCAAGGGCCACCGCCGCCGAAAAGAACGTGGCCAAAAACAACCCCTTGGGACTGGCTCAGGAATACTAGTATTTGTCGGTCGAGCATTCAACTTCACAAGAATTGCGTCACTGGCGGATGGCCGGAATTAAATCAATAGGGACAACTCCCACGCGGAGCGTTAAACTGGAGCAGCCCAAGAGCTCCAGGACCTGGAGAATTTGCATTTTCGTGGCCCACACAATAAACAGAGAGTGGTCAGTCTGGAATTTAGGTCGGCTTTGGGGTCTTCGGAAAAGGATTGCAAGGACATTTCAAAGGCGGGCGAGCATAACTCAACGGGGTTTTCGTTTCCGCTTTAGTTTCTTGCTTTCTATTCCATAATTTTTTTTTATTAATTAATTGGCTCTGGCGTCTGGCATGAATTATGGCGCTTTTTCGGACAACACCTAGAAACCTTGGGAGAAATTAAGGCCAGGATATGGCTAGTCTTTTTTTTATTGGTCTCTCGAATAACTCTGAATTATTTATTGCTTCGTTGAGGGCAGTGCAGTCAGGTTATTGATGAACCGCTTAAGTGCTTGGGAAAGGAACAGGACATGGCTAATATCCCCTGAAAAATGTAACTAGATTGAAGTTGGAGAGCTTGCTGTCATCCTCTGACCATTTCCGACTTTATAAATTTACAGTTTGGCTGAGTCACTCTGGGCTTTTGGATTTGAAGTCATTGATATTCTGCGGCTGTGTCATGATTGGTCAAAAAATATGGGAGGAAACAGTTGTTTAGATCATTTGCGTACAATTACGAATGGTCCTATAGAGAAGTCTGACTCATCCACATATGGTTTATCCCATAAGATTTATTGTATATTTTTTGTATTGGTTTTTAAAAATATTTGTGAATTTTAATGGAGGCTTGTTCTAGAATTGATGACTTAAGTTTGATTATTTTTTAACAATATACTAATTAAGGCGAGACAACAACTCAATAAAAATATTTATAGATCATATTTAATAGATTAAATAAAAAGACAAAATGCATATTTTCTTCACCATAAAGTAATTTATTTTATTTATATTTTTAGGATTCTTATACAAAGGTAATTTGGTGGTTTTTAACAGTTCCATCAGACTGATAACAAGGTTGTGACACCCATAACAACCGGTGGCAACTTGTTTGAGTTGTTCGTCTAAACAGCTGATCCAACCGAAACTTGCCAAAAGATAGCACATTTCGGTTTGTTGCCGGCTTTTATTGGTTGCAATACAGTTCAAAAATAAAGAATAGAGAAGTTAATCCGACATTTTAAAGTAGTAATTAGCTTAATTTATTTTAATTTATATTAAAAGAAATGACTTTAAACGAATTTATTGATTTAAATGAGTTGAAATTGGTAATATTTATGTATAGAATAATAATCGGCAATATCTATACTTGTAGAACCAATGAGTGTTGCTCAACATGTTCCTAGAAACATTTTCCTGAGCTACACTTATAGATAAAGATACATCCAGGATTATCTTACTATAAAAATTGATATTTGATACAGAATAAAAAAGGCAGAAAGACAAGTAATATAAAAAAGAACATTTACCCGGACCAGTTAAATCCCTGATACCCCTTAAGCCACACTTATTACACTCCAAATCATACTGACAACATAAGATAGATTCATAGATAGATTCATAGATTCAGTGTTGATTGTATCTTTCTCCCTTAGCTTTGTCCCAGTGTATCGTCCAACTCATGCGAGTTCGCTGGCAATCTACCCGCTCGGCGGCCGCGTTAAAGCATTCGCTTTCAATATTGAACGACAGTCCGCTGTTTGCTTCGAAACGGGAAGGTTGTCGTGAGATCTCGCTCGTGAAATTGAAATGAATTGAGTCGTTGAGTGGCAAAGCGCTTTTTGGCCAACAGCGATTGTTATAACGCTTATTTGATTAAGTACGCGAGTTTCGTTATATATGTAGTTTTTTTTATTTATATTTGTTATCTCGAGAAGTGCGTGTGCGTTGTCGTTTACGTTTGTTGTTGTTTGGCTGAGTGGGCGATTTTCGTGGGCGTTTTGTAGATTTTTTGTTGTTGCCGTTGTTTGCCATTTAGAACACAATTTTCAGCGTTGGCTAAAAACTAGTTAGGCATAAAAAAAAAATAATAACGCACAACGTGACTAGCGTTGTGTGGTATTAACAAAATTTCAATTTCTTTCATAGGCAAAACAGAAATAACAAAAGACCGGCAAATCTAAATTTAAAAACGACAAAAATTACAACAAAACGAGAAAAACAAATATGCATGCCTCTGACATTGCCCATGACGGCCAGGCAACAACAACAACAATAAAAAAAAGCCACATCGATTTGCATTTGTTTCAACTTTGCTCTAATCAAAATCAGACACTCACACGCACCTCGCTATCAACAATCAAAGTGTAACGGGCGCTGTAAAGTTTCGTAAACTCAAACCACAAAAAAAAAAATTCATAAAAAATACAACAATTTAAATGTTCCACAAAATGTAAATGTTCAAATTTCTTGTTTCATTTTGGAAAACAGCTTGAACAAATCGGGTTGCAAAGCCAAAATAACAACAACGAAAAAATTAAAGAAAACCACTTAAAATCGGTGTGCCAGACAAGTGGAAAAATCCGAGGTGAGTTTGGCAATCGTTTGAATTGATTTTATTTTTTGGGGAAAGAATCGAAAATTGACCCACTGCATCCGACCGGGCAATTATTGATTTTGCAGGCGTGTATGTCCTTCGGAGGTGAATGCAATGCCGGTCGGTCCCGAGAAAACTCCACGACGACAGCAACAGCAGCTGAAAAGCCCAAGGACGCTGCCTGCTGCAGTGCTTGAACTTTTCACCTCCCCATCTTCCTACTCACACACCCCTCCCAAAAAAAAAAAAAAACAGCTGTGAAATCCTCTCTTGTGCTGCGCCGGCAATGCTTTTCCGCTTTTCCATGTTGCAACCATGCTTGCTTGCTTTCAATTTCAATGCAACGCCGAACAAGTGGCAGCAGGTTCTCTCTTAGCCGGCACGTGGGCGGTTTTTTTGCCTTGCCAAGGAGGGGTTGTGGGTGTCCAGGCCTGCTTGTTGGGCTCCCAGTGAGTGAATAGTTGGTGTGGGTCTACTTGTAGTGAACATATTAAATATTCAGGCAGAAAAACTGGCACAGTAGTGGAATAATTGAATTACTGAAAAGTTCTAGTCTTCCTTTAAAGGAGAAATATTATTTTAGTTGAAAGATAATAAAGTTAATAATTTATTAATAATATATGGGAATAGTTTCATTATTTTTAAATAATAAGAAATAATGGGGAAGCAGGTGGGTTACTTTTTAAACAAATTGTAAACCCCTGTTCTTAGTGTTGTTTTTAGTATATTTAATTTGAACCTAAACATTTTTCTGTTATTACTTTATTAAACCAGATTTTTCCTGTGTAATCCATAAAACCCAATTAGCATATAGGCCCCCGAGCAAGTATGTCGCTACTCCATATGGCAACTAAAGCTTCTGCAAGTAGGCTTCAATCTGCTCTATTTACACCAAGCCCACTCGATAAATTTTGCCTTTGTTAATTTCGCGCCGCTTTGCGCTGCATTTTTCCCATTAATTAAGTTTCAATGGTGTCCATTCAGGCGGCAATCCAGTACAGTGGGCACTATTAGAGGAACCTCAACCTCAACTAGTTGTGGCTTTTTGTACCGAGTTCACGCTCATTTTAATTTAACACTAGAGCGATTTTGTCGGCCTGCTTATCAGATATATCTGCCAGAGGCTTTCTAGTTAGATGAAGGTCCTTCGATAAGCCCACAATGTTGGGGAGTGTGCCAAAAAAGACTATGACTTAAAAATTACAGCCGAGGGGCTTGCTGTATCCGGGCCTTTGTAATGCAAGCAGAGGGGTTCCCTTATCTCAATATTTGATTTTCATTTGGGCATGAGCTCATCAGCGGCTGCAGATTTTGTTTCGCACTCAGGTAGTGTAACCAAAAAAAAAAAGATCAAGTTCCCTATGTGATTTAAGTTACCCTCCGGCAAAGACACCCTTTCCCCTCGGCGGCATTGATTTCACATTACAAAGCGACCCCTTTTTTGGCGCGTGTTTTCAATTTATTTTAGTGGAATTGCCCTTCGATTGCCTGGTTTCTTCCGTTGAAATAATTGTTCCTTATGCTTTTTTAACCCTTCTTGATTGTTATTGTGTGATTTATAAATTTTTTTCCCCCTCTTTTCTATGGCTGCATTTGGGCTGTGGGGGGGAAGAAATTTGCATAATTGCATTTGCTTTTCATATAGGGCGTCTCGCCGCTTTTCACTCTAATTTCAGGCCATATTTTCACCTTAACCACCCATGGAGTTTCAGTCGATTGCAGCATTTTGTGGTTTCCCGTGGCTTTTCATTTGTTTTCCCCCCTAGGCTTGGATTCGGTTTACCTTTTTTGTGTGGTTTCACTTTGGTTGTTGGCACCTTGTTGGGATTTAAGGGCCATTATGACAAGGGAAGGATGAGAAAGTCCCGGTTGTTAGTATCCCTTTACCAGGATTACCTGGTTTTTTGCAGAGATAGGTAGAGAAAGGGGATAAGGGAATGGAGTTTTAGTTGGCTATCTCTTGCCTCTTTCAAGCAATTTTTATTGACTCTACACAGGAAAAATCTACTATTGTTTAGATATTTAATAGAAATATGATAGATTTTGTTAACAAAATATTTTCAAAAATTTTTGCAGAGGTTTACTATATGTTTATAGACACCTCCAACTTCCCCTTAAAATAAAATGTATATTACTTTATTCTATACCCTTTTTTTCTCCGTGTATTTGATAGTAATTTTATTGCACAATTCACGCGTAATGTTTGTATTTTGTCTGGGTTCAGCCCCCTTTCGGAAAAGTGTTGCTAGTTCCATGAGTCACTTGATAAGAACAAATGATAATTGTGGCGCTGCAGCAACAGAAAAATAACAACAATTAACCCAAGCAGCAACAATTTTAGTGTTCAGCAGAGTACATTAGAGAAATATGTAAAATAGCAAAAGAGAACCAGAACTATTTCAAGTGCAAAGTGAGAAAAATAATACACACACCTCGCCCACCTAATTTTCAGTGGCTGCTCGAGGTGGTGATGTGGTGAAATTTCCTGAGCCGCTCGACATTTGTTTTTCACTCTCACTGGCAGCACTCTCTCCCTGCCTGGCTTTTATTCAAAAAAATTCATAAAGCATTCTATATGCAATATCAAACAAACACGCCAGCCTGCCAGCTGTAGAAAAGGCATAAAAATTTTAAAATTTTTGTTGCCACCTTCAAGGTCACCAAATATCGTTAAAATGCCTGTTGTCGGTGGCATTTGTTTGCCATTAAGCTATAAGTAGCAGGCAGTTCTCTATATAAACGGACTGCAGTGTTTCCAAGAGCATGAAACTGAAAAATAAAAATAAAAGAGAAAAATATAGGTGAACGAAAAAATTTCATTCATGCGACTCACATGATTGATAAGCAGCCACCGTGCGCACTGATAAACAATTTTGACTAATTCTCTTTGACTTTGCCCCAGCGTTATGAATATTAATAGTCCGGTGGCGGTGACGTCAGGCTATATAGCCTAGTGCATTTGACAGATGACGAAACGGAAAGCGCAAGTCAGATCAAATGCAAATGGGAGAACAGGCCCTGAATGAAGATGAATGGGCCGAGTGATTGGAAAGGGCACGAGTTTACACATATTTAGACACTACGAAAAAATAGCTAAAGAATGTCATATTGGTTAAAGAAAAGATCTGTGCAATTTCAGGCTACAATTATTCAAGAAAAGTTGTCCAGTTTTTATTAGTTTTTTCTTAAACGAAATAAGCCCTTAAAGAAATTATTAAAACTGTATTTTAATTTATAAAAATATTTATTTGAGGTCGACAAATATTTCTTATGAATGTTTCCAATGAATATATATTTTTAAAATTTTCAAAAACATTTCAATTATTCCATTAAATACTTTAATTAGTTTCCAAAAACTACAGGCCTCTAAAAATATTCTGACATTGATTGCAGCTTTGACATAAAAATAAGCCAAATTATTTTTCCTAAAAACAACAAAATATTTATTTTATGAAGCAGAGACAAACACACACCATCAAAAAAGGGCGAGCTATGAAAATATTCATATGTTTACGGTATAATCATAAATGAGGCGGCAGTTTTTCCATTTACCAACGAAAGGCTGACAACTTGGGCCGTCACAAGCGTTTGACATTTTCATTTGACTTTGTCAGCGGCGGAAAATGAAAATAGCCACAACCACCTGCAGCTCACAGGGCGTAACTAATTTAACACACCAAACACACACACAGGGGGAGGATGGTATGTTTGGACTGCACTGCGTTACGTTTTGTTATTAGTTTGTTTGGAGTTCTTTTTTTTTTGTGGAATTTTTCTTATATATAGTATGTGTTTTTTTTTTGCGGCCCTATCAACCCAACTCCATCGCAAGGGTCAAAAGCTCAGCAAACGAGGAGAACATGCAATGGCGTTAAATTTTAATGCGTGCTGCGGAATTATGACAGAGGGTTTTGGGCGACCCAAGAGGTTGCGTTGCTGCAGTTGTGGGTGTGTTTTCTATACTCATTGGCCAGTCACGCAATGCAGCCTGTTTTCCGCCTCAAGTTTGTCAAGATAGCGACCAGAATTCGTTGGCATAATACGCAGAAGGAGAGGACAATGCCGCCGACGGCTTATAGTTTACACAGAAGAAAGAATGACATCAACTTAGGAGCGAGCTACCTTATCTAAGCGGCGACATCGCAATTTATTAGATTGTATGCTCTTAAGTTTATCGTCTAAATTAAATATTTTTGTAATATCGTGTAATTGTTAAGTGGAGCCAAAGATAGCGGCTGGCGAAAATGATCTCAGCAAAGGCAAGAGGAAGGTTGCTCTAGGTGTAAATTAATAGCGTTCATGGTGGAAAATTATCTTTGCTGTTGATCTTGGGGAGATTTTGAGATAACTAACTAAAGATAATTAGATAAAATAAATGGGAAATGTAAGGAATAAATCCCAAGTGATCTCAATGTTTGCCCCGAGTATCATTTTCGATATCAATACACAAGTATTGGATACCCAAAGACCGAAAGCTCCCATAACCTTGAAATGATACGAGACCCACTGACCAGCTTACGTCACTTTCGGCCAACAACAAGCCAAGCATTTAATGTCCGGCTCCGCATAAACCCCACACCCGCCCACCGGGGCCAAACAAGTGACAACGACGAATGTCACCGAGACTTTTGACGTTGAATGAACACGAAATTGGAGCGCACGCTTCGGTGTGCGATAAAGCCCGAAAAAAAGTAAAATAAAATAGATATGAAAACGAATTCGGATGATTTACTGCACCTTCGATAGTGCCAATGGCCCACTCATCAGATCACCCATTAAAAATAGCCAAGCGAAAACACACCGCAGAAAGCGGAAAAAGCATTGAAGAAAACTAAGAAAGAAAAACAGCGAATGGAACTAGAAGGAATCAAACAAATATTTCTGAACAAATAAACGGACATCAAATTAGAATCTAGAATCCCGCATTTGGCGGAGGCCAACATGTGGCGAAGGTAACACCCGCGGCCAAGTTTAGAAAAAGTGCTAAAACTGTTTATTGGCTAATTTGAATGACCAAAAATGTGCGAATGTTTGTTCAATTAAAATGCCATTCCACATAGTTTCGGGTTATACAAGAAGAATCGAATTTATTTATACACTTTCTTACTTCTTGAGAACAATGAGGAATAGTTTTAAAATTACTATTTAATTTAAAATCTTTTATTGGTAATTATTACTATCCAATGAGTCAGTTCTTATTTTCGCACTCCGTTAAATTATAAAGGCATATTTTCATATAAGAAAATGTTTTCCATATTTTGTTAAAAAACACTTTAATTAGAATTATTTCCTTATTGAAATAAATCAAATTTGGCAAGTGTTGTGGAAGTACTTATTTCCACCTCTTAATAAACACTTTGTCGGCAAGTGCCAAATTAATTTTACCAATTTTCATCACGTATTTAATTAATGTCTATCGGAAGAACATGTAATTTCATTAAGGCACTCGCTTAGTTTTTTCAATATGCTATAACTATATATACTTTATAGAATTGTTTGCGGCTGCGAGTGCGTCGAACTTTCCGTGAGTCAGAGGGGACTTGTGATGTAATTGTGTTTTTATGAGCAATCGTAACGCAAATGCTCATGTTAAGCATACGACACGTGCACCGCAATTGCTTATTAGCAATTTGGCGCCAAGTTTTGGCCATATCAAGTTTGTCTTCTTTGTAGTTTTTGCCCCTGAGAAATATGATTGATTTGCTGCTGAAATATAGTATAGTCGCTGTGGGAGGCTGGCGCTGACCCAGTTTCGTTATTTACTTTCAATAATATCTATGAATATATTCGCCTGACAAAAGAGAACCAAAAATAAGCGCAGATCTGCTCTGGACCAGTGTTGTTTTTTGTGAATTTTTGTTGTTGTTGTTTTTGTTGAGTAAATTACTTATTTATATTATTCAGCACAGAAGCACCGTCAAAAGGCGACAGCAACAACGATGACGTAGTCGGTTTTGAGAACAAAATGGAATGAAAACAAAACAAAAAAGTAGTGCTATTAATTTTGATATATCCCCTTGGCTATGGTATTGTTTGGTGGTCTCACTTAATTGGTTTTTTTCGCTCAGCCCAATGATCCGTCATCAGCGTTTATGGTACGTATACGTAATATTGCATTCGCCAAGTGCAGTGCTCCCCCGCATTTTGTGGGCGTTTTGTAACGCTGGGAAATAATAATAATACCGACAGAATGGTTATTTCGAGAGCCGTAAAGATAGATACATTATTAAGTGCTCACATGCCTCACATGAGTAATAATTTGCATATCTAATTCGCGTTTGTTAACCTGCCACAGAGACAATTGACAGAAGCCTAAAGTGTATGTCTGACGGTCATTGTTTTTAAAAGAGACCCGACACATAATTCTGAGAAACTATTAAGTAATTAGTCAGAGATCTTGACTTTGGTAAATAATTCTTTAGGGGGGCTTACCAAGTGTGAAGTCGGAAAGTCGGGTTTACCCAAATTTGTGCAGATTTTGCTGTCACATTTTAATGGCCAGCGTAACATGGGGTCAATGCTGGCCCCCACTCCTCCCAGCTCAACCCTTGTCATTGTCACACGACAAATAATAATAATAAAAAAAGAAGAGAATACCCCAAGACAATTACATAATTACCAAGTTGTGCGTTGACAATTAACTCGACACTCCAAGTCGCTTTCCCTGCTCTTGATTGATGACACTCGCTGCGAATTAAGAACAATTTGGCTGCATCGTGTCCTTAACGTTCAATATTTACACTCGTTAAGCAATAAACGTATTGAATCCCAATTGATCCAATTTCCATCTTCTCCCAATGAGGGCTGAACAGCGAAGGCTGTTCACAGATTTAACTCAATAAAAGTCGATTTAAAATGCATAATGTGGTCGCTAATTGTTACAACAAACCACAAATACCCAATACGAAGAAGGGGTTGGGTTGGCTTGTTTTGGGGAAGTGCGGGTCATACCGGGTTCAATGATTATTAATCAAATGCCAGTTTAATTATGCGACTTGTTAGAGACACAGCACAGACACACACTAAACACCACTCGTGTAATCGCTCAGGGCCCCTCGTTTGACGCTTCCCCCGGAGGTCCGCGGTCTGCGGCTTCAATTAAAATTCGTTCCGCCGATCAAATTGATCTTGCCAAGCTAGCTGCTCTCCAAAAATGAAAGTTTACGAGTCTGTCTTTTTTTGGCATTAAGCACTGAGAAAAAAAGTTTAAAAGGATTTGATCAGACAGAACACAATTCAATTATTTTGAATATTACAAAGGTTTAGGCTTAGGCTCTTGATATACGTTTAATTTTATTTCTGAATTCTCGTTTTGAAGGTTTTATTCTCAGTGTATCAGTATAACCTCTGGTTATGGCATTGTCTGTTCTTGGCGCCCAATCGAATGTCAAGTATGAATCCATTGACGACAAGGCAGACCATTTCTTTTGATGGCCCTTCATCGTGACAATTCTCAGCTCTCTCTCTCTCTCTCCCTCTGTCTCTCTGCCTTTTTATTACTTAATATTTTTTTATATTCTTTTTTTGGTAAAGTATTTTGATTGGGACTCCCTCCAGTTGGTGGCGAGCTTTTATCGGGTGCGGTTCTCCTCAGACTTTGAGTTCGCCTTTTGCATTCTCATTTTGTTTACGATTTCGCATGGATATCCACATCAAGTAAAGATATTCCGGCGATATTCGATATTCGGTTCTCCGCTTTTCGGATTCGGTTCGCTTTTTGGCATTGAACTTGCGGCTTAATCATTGTCAAAACACACAGACAGTCAGCCACACACGATCGCCTATGAAAACAAGCGCTGGCGAATGCATTCGATAAACACATTTAGTCTTCATGTTTCTGTTTATTTTTCGCTGCTCGTATTTGCATTATAAATTAGTTTTCAATTTACGAGGCAAACATTGACAAAGTGACATCATGAATTGTACCCCAGTGGCAAATTTTTATGATTTTTTTGTTTGGGAAAAGTAAACAACTGAAAGCAAAAGTAAAGCTGGGAATCCGTGGGCGCCGACCATGCAGATGCGTGAAATATTTCAAGGGGAAGGGTAATTGAGCGAATAACGAAACGGAAATGAAGGAACTAAATGTTCCAAGACCAAATGATTTGCATGGCTATTTTTAGAGGAATGAAATGTGGGATTTTGAAAAGATAAATGAGAGTATTAGGCGAGTGTCAAGGTGCATGAGGGGCCTGAGGTTCAGCTTCCACGCCCCCAAATTGATTGTGATTTACTTGCTTTGACCCGGGGGTCACCATTAATCTCTGGTCAATTTTGATGAAGAACATTCACTAATGTTTTTGTTTGTCTTCTTCCGGCAACTCCTTTCAGGCTTTTAAGAGAAGGCCAAACCCAAAAATCGCGCAGCAGCCAGGGACCTATGCAAATTCTGGAGAAATCTCAACTGTGCAGCTGGAGCTGGAGCTGCTAGATACAACTGGCAGATAGATTGCTCGGAGAGCACATTTCCGCACTCGGTGGGACAGTGGGACGAGTCTGTTTGTTTACTGCACCGAGAACCCACCGAGAAGAACCACACAATGCCCGGCCACTTGCATGCCATCGATCTCTGAGAGGCTCCAGTCCTCCACCTCCTCCTCTGGATTCTCCTCTTGCAATATTTGGAGAGCACTGCAGCCGTTGCTGGTGGTGCAATCGCCAGATAAATTCTAATAAATAGCCAGACAACAGCATACTTGGCATACAAATAAATAAGAATCGAAGAACGCAAGAACGCGGAAAGCGGAACGAACGCACATTGCAACAGTTTCGGATTGAAAATTCAAATTCACCCGAGGTGTGGAGTGCATTGGCCAGACCAAATCGGGCCATAATCCCCCCACAACACCTCCTCCCGGACTTCTTATTTTTCGAGGCAACATAGACGTAGGTCGCGGCCAAAGTGTTCCAAGGCAGAGGCAGAGGCAACCGGAGCGAGGTGTACACCTTTGGCACCATGGAGGGCGGTTACGTCAACGAAGGTGAGTTGTAATTACATTTTAATTCGAGGAATGCCTTTCTTTGATGTAGTTTTTATAGTGATTTTTAATTTAGATTTTTAGGGCCTGGAAATAAGTGCACTTATGGTACTTTAAGGCCTATTCCTTAATATCTTTTTAAGTTGAAAAATACTTTATACTCTATAGAAATTAGGATACTTTTCTTCTTTCTTGGTTGACTTCCACAAATTCTTATAATTCACTTACAGAATTCAAGTAATTTGATTTGCTTGGCTGCCTTTATTTCATCGGCTAATTATTCATAGCCACCCACCGACCACTGCTTATACCTAAGATATATCCATTTGATATACAGAAACTTACATCACGACTATTTCGACAATAAATACAAGTATTTTCTCATACATTCTATGGCTTTTGGTCTCTCACCTACAATACCTAAAAATATTTCAAACACACAATGGCATAAAACATTCATTCAACAAAATACTCTGACATGTGTTCGAGCTGAATATATTTGACTTTGAATTCGAATTTTTAAAAAAATGTTGCACATGCACAGTGACAACGAAAAGATATCTGCAATTTATTAGCAATGCAAATGCGAATTATTCAAACAGACACTTCACTCACCATTAGTCAGAGCAATGAGGCAATGCATCTAGATAGATCTTTGAGCCATTTGCAATATTTGTTTTTTTTTGTTTTTTCTTGATTTTGGCAAACACTTTGGTTAATAGAAATAGACAATTACGTTACCTGGCCTGAGTCAGAGCACATCACTAACCCAAATCAACGAAATTCTTTTCAAAATATCAAAATGCTAACCATCATGCAGAGGATTCAGATGCCATAATGGGTGTGGAAAGTCCAGGTAAATTGATATAAAGAAATGTTTTAATGTTTATGTTCTCAGAATTGTATTTATTTTGATTTAAATATCATAACATCAGGGGGGTTCCTAAAAGAAATTATCTTTGAAATCAATTTCAACCAATAATTACTTTTATGAGTATTCAAAATATAAGAAATACTTCAAGTACTTTTAAACTGTGTACTACTTTTCATTCCTTTTTGGCTTAAATTATTTGTTGAACATATTTTGACATAGACTCTACCCATAACCGGCACATCATTACACCAAACTGAGAGTACGAGTGTGGGGAAACTGGCTTAGAATACTAAAAGGGCCATCATCAGCTTTGTGACGCCCAATTAAAGTCTGCGAGAGATGCGAACGTGTATCTGAGAGATACCAGACCTAAGCCGGTTTGCCCCGCCCACAGCCTCCGCAAGTGATTCCCCCCTTTTTCGGATCGCAGAATCGGTCGCTGACTCTCTGATCTAGTGACGCCACAGCTACCTATGTCGTCTGCTATTTTGGCTTTGTTTCACATTTACATAAGAGGATTAACGAATGTAAATCATAGACCAAATTGGCTATGCCCGTGCCTCTCATATTCGATTCTAGGTATCATCGGAGAATGCAAAAAATAAAAAACAAAAGCTGAACAAGGCGAAAAGCGAGCCGTAAAGTAGTCAAGCTCACTGCTGCCGCTGACAACTGTGTTCCACAAAAGGCAAAACTGTCTGTCAGTCAGTTGGATGCTGGGCGATTGGCTTTTCAATTAATATTCATTTGGGAGAAGGCAAAAACTGTCATAAATTATCAGGCAGGAAGACAGGCAGACGGACAGGGTTCCTTGAGGCGGCGTCTTCAAGTACTATATGTGGCGTCAAAAACTGCAACGCGGTCACGTCTTTCACGGGCATCGCCGGATTTGTACGAGCGTCTTATGATGTCATCTGCAGGACCAGCATTTTATTTTATTTTTTAGGGATCCAAAAGCAAGCATAATAAATTGGCAGTTTTGGCGGGGCAAAGACATTGAATTTGTTTCCCGGAATTCTGTGAGCCAGACCGAAATCTCATATATCTTCAGCCGATGCGGTTTCGCTTTTTTTGCGAATCTTCAGATTAGCCTTGTTTATGGAATTCACTGGAATTTTTTCGCAAGGCATTATTCCCCATTTGCTCTTGAATCCGGAACATAAATACACTTCTTCACAGTTGCGCAAATGCTTTAATGAAGACAGCTGAGTGCGCCATTATTTTCTAATTAAACAATGTTTAGTGTCAGTATTTATGACAAAGGAACGTGTGGAATAAACAATAACAAGAGTATATAAATATTTTATATGTACTTGTAAATCGGACACTAAATTAGATGGTCATGGTTGGTTGGGGCTTACACTGACCTTGTGACCTTGCCGGGGCTTTGAACTATACATTTTATGTTCACATGTGTATTGAAAAGTCTGTAAGAATTAACAGAAAGCAAAAAAACTACAAGCCACAACGATGACGACAGCATGACTAAACACACCAGTGACGAAAATTTATGACCAACAGTTGCGGACATTGTCTGCTAATACCCTGGGAAAGGGTAGGATAGTCTTAACATTCAGTTTGTAATATAAAAATAAAGTATCAGAGAAATATTTACTATGAGTTCTTGATGACACTTTCAGCAGTCTAGTTACCCTTTTGTAGAGTATTTATCATATGCAAATCCTCTGCTCATGTTCTCGTTTGCTTGGTCTTCAACTTGACCTTAAACGCAACGCCTCAGAATGAGACTACTTACATAATGAGACGTGATAAGCTATCAAAATTTGCATAAACCAGGTGAAGAAGCTGGCATGTAGGCGTTAAGCTCAACACCTCATGCTTATGACAGTTAATTCGAAATATAAACAGATATAAAAGTGAGCCAGAAACAAGTTTAAATTGCCGTCAGACGGCTTTGCTCTGGGATTTGATTTTCAAATCGTTTAAGGTGTTCAATTACACGACATGGAAAATGCATCTCAAGTTGCTGCAAGCTCAATATCGGAATTTGAAGTGGTTATTCGATATGATCAATTGTCGCCAAGACCAATAGTTTGCTTATGGTTCCATTCCATCATATATCTATTTTCACCTACTGTCCGCCTTTCCCTGAAATGTCAGTTTTCATTGCCAGCTGGAAAGTATTTTCCTCTGTCAGTTGTGGTCCAAGTTCAGGCCACAATCGCTGGCTGACCAATCGCTGTGTTTATTGACCAATTGATCGGCGGTGCATTAAGAAAAACACGTGATTTGCATTTAAATTGTTTTTGGCCCGGACTCGGCAACCAAATTCTTTGCCAGCCAGCCAGCCGGTGTTTATTTGCATTGGCGCCTTTGCCGTTTTGTCACACGGAGAAAAATGTGATTACACAGAGGTTTTAAATAGAATTTTCTTCTTTTTTTTCAAATTAATTTTCTGTTTCTAGCAAATGATCGATTTTTTTATAATAAAAACTTATTTAATGATTTCTAAAGGGATTTTATACAAGGCTAATAAATATTGAGTCTGATCTTTGAGCTGCATTCAAATAAGGAAATCAATATACTACACACTAAATTATTTACTATAAATTACCTCTATCTCTAGACTTCTTTAAAATCCAAATATAAGGCAACAACATCTTACATTGTAAGCAGAAACAAATTTTCACTAAACTTAGCTCCTAAAAAATGGCATTTCACAATTTTAGACACCTTTTAAAAAGGGTTTAAAAAATCTCAAAAATTTCTAAAAACACCCTACTATTTTTACCTATATTTCCAAGTTATTAAAACCTTTTTCTACTGTGCACTTTGTGCCGTGTTGGCCCTGAACGATTAGCGACTTGACCAAACCCCCAGCCACATATCAAAGCAATCGTGGAAATGACGTCAGCTTGTGGCGCTCTTGGGCCTACAATTGAAATCAATTTGCAGTAGCGCCAATTGCTGTTGACATATTTCATCTAAGGCGTTTCATTTCATCCAATGAAAAGTATGCAATGTGCACATATGGTCATATATGCAAATTTCATTGCTCAGCGCATGCGCGCAGCCCATGTTGACGATTTTCACTGCCGCAATGTTGCCGATTTTTAGCATAAAAGTCATCAAACTTTAAGCTACCTGATACATATATCTTAGATTGTTTTTTCTCGAGGAGGAAGTGATTTATGTGAGTTCCAAGAAAAACGCCAGTGATTCTTAGACAAAAGCCCCAAACAACCTCACTCATTTTTGTCGATTTTATCTCTTTGGCTAAGACTAACTGCCTGTCAAAGCTTTGCGTTTGCATTTTTAGCCACATTATTTGGCAGCTTTATCGGCAATAATAAAATTAAATAATTTATTTTAATGTTCAAGTCTAGTTAAATGGGGCTAAGTGATTTTCGGTGTAGATTTCAAGCTTAAACTGGGCAGGCAAAAATGTGGTGGCTTTTCTTTTTTTTTTTTTTATAACAAAATAACAAAATTAGCTTAAATTGCTGGCACAAAAGACCAGGGGCAGCTCGTGACTTAGCCACCATAGACATTGCGGATTGCGGATCGGCGATTGGAAATGCATCAAAGTAAACGGCGTTGAAGGCGAAAGATGCTATCCGTCATACGGTTTGCCCATTCTGGAAGCCGGCACGTATCTGAAGTTGAAGTCGAAGCCCCTGTTGTAGATTGCCTTTTAATAGTTAGATAAATTGCCGGGCCTCTGGCACCTGAGTTGCATAAGACATGAGGCACCCCGGTGAACATTTGTCATAATGCGGAACAGATTCTAATCTCGGCCATTGTCTTCTGACGATACAAAGAGTCTATGGAGGAAGCTAAGTGCAGGTTTGGGTAATATCTGCAGACAGATCTGGGCACCCACACAGCTCGTAATTGGATTACTCCAAATTCTCATAATTGGCACCCGTAGGCAGGGCCTAAATTAGCGAAAAAAGAATTAACGGAAATGTAAAAAAATCCCCTTCTCAATTAATCAATTTTCTTAATAAAAAACGGACCTTGGGCTGCGGTGGCGTAGGCCGTTTCAAAGATTGGACACTGAGAAGCCCTCGGGGCAGCACTGAACTCTGAGGTGTTGCGGGCTTTATTAAAGCCAAATTAGCTTGGAAAAGAAAAAAAATGACAGCCATAAATCAAGAGCACAAACCAATGCCAGTGCTGCTGGATAAGCCCACACACATCCCATCTCTTTGGGATCTAAGGAATTCGAGTTAGCCACTTTCGATCTTTTCGCAGAATTCTTACTCATATTAGCCAGCATTTCCTCAGATCCTCCGCTAATGTATCGCTATTTTCTATATACTTTGAGCACCGCGCATTTCTGACAGGCAATTATAAATAAAAATGTTTTCAAAAATACTTTCACCAAAAAAAGCGTGACAATGTCAGTGCCGGCAGCTGAAATCGAGAGCAAAATAATTTGGCCAGCTGCCAACTAGCAACCGATTAAATGAGCATCGTAAAAAACGAATGCTAAACAACAAAACAAACGTCAAGTTCACAATGTGAGCCCATAATTTGTAACGCGAATATTTCCCGTATAAAAGTAAATATTAATGTGAGCTGTTGGTATGTGTAATAAACGAGCAAATCAGGGGTTATATACGGCGACAGTTTAATGCCCATCAAGGCCACTGTAAAGACAAGTGACAAAAAAGAGAGAATATTTAAATATATAAAATTATGGTTTATTGCCGGTGACAGTTTACGTGCCAATTTACCTAATGATCTGATATTGAAACGCACTGAAAGGGTGTGAGAACGGGTGTGACCAGTTAGATCTTCCATGGAAGATAAGTGCTAACAAATGGAAGATGTTGCTGGCATAACAATTATTCTATCAAAAAGAAATAGTAATTTTGCCAGGGAGAATATATACATTTTTAGCACCTAAACAATTGCTTATAAATATATAAAATATATATAAAATCCATTAACTTATGTCTAATAACTTGGGCTAACAAACTCCGCCCCAGTCGTATTTTTCCTTCAATGCCATT